CAAACGGCCCCAGATTTGACGGGGAAAGCCGGCTCAGTGGGGGAGGGCATCGGTCCTGAGCGGTGGCAGCTTTTCATCAGCATCTTGTGTTTTCGAGCAGGTTTAGAGCCAGATCCTGGTGCTGGGGAGGTTTCTTCTCCCTTCACACTCCTCCTCTGTGTCCTTCCTCCTGCTGTGCAGCATCCCTGTCCTGCCCCCCTGGGCTCTGCACTCCTCCCTGGGTTTTTTCCCCCGTTCCCGCTCCTTTTCCACAGGCCATTCCACGCCAGCTCAGCCTCTCCGCTGCCCTTCGCTCCCGTCCGTCCCCACGACCGCCACAAACACCTCGAAGGGCTCGAGCATAGCTGCCGTGAGCTGTGCTCCTGTGTTCCCTGCAGCCTCAAACCGCGGCTGCCTCTGTCTGCGGCACAAAATCCCCCCCAGGCATCGAGGGTGGATTTCGAAGCCGCAGTGATGGGAAGATGTTCCGTACAGCGGGCCACGGGGAACTGACGCATCTGCAGCACCAGGATCAGCCCCGGGGCAGCCCGGGAGGCGCTGGGATTAGCTCAGACCTCGAGGACCAAGCGGGAAGATCCGCTCTGTCTCCTCCCTCTTTCCAAAGGCAAAGAGCAAAATGCTTCTGGAACAGCACCCGAGGAGGTGTTTGCGGTGCTGCTGACTTTCCTCCGCAAAAAGCAGCTCCACGGGGAAGCTCCACGGGGAAGATCGCCCCGTCCCCCGTCCGCTCGGCTGGGGATGCTGAGGGGATGCTCGGGGGATGCTGGAGCTCTCCACGCCCACCCTGCTGCATCCCAAAGGCAATTCTCTGCAGAAAGATATTCCGGAGGGCAGGGATGGAGCTGGAGGTGAGTAGAAAGATACATCTCTGGGCTTGGCCGGGGCCCTTGGCCAGCAGAAGGGATCCAGGAGGTGCAGCCAGTCGCCAGCAGAGCCTCAGCCCTGTCTGCTGTCCCCATCGCTGGGAATACCCGACTGGAGACCTCGCGTGGTGTCCTGCCCATCCCGACGTGCTGTTCCTGCACTGTGCACGGGGTCGAGCGAGGCAGAGGACAGCCCACGGGGGCTGTGCCATCACCCGGGGGCTTTGGGGCAGAAAAGAGGGTTTGGAACAGCCTCGGTCCAGGGCATCCACCTGGGCAACGTGATCCTCGCCTGGGGCTTCACCCCCCCTTCTGCCACCCAGATCTTGCCCCATCCCTCCCGGGGCTTTGCCCCATCCCTCCCGGGGCTTTGCTCCATCCTCCTGGGGCTTTTCTCCATCCCTCCTGTCTCCACCAGCCGATTTTTCTCTGCAGGTTGATCCGACAGCCCTAACTGGGTTTGTTGTGGTTTTTTACAGCACTGACCGTCAGATTCATCACCAGGAGGTTTATTGGTGACTACGACCCCACCCTGGGTAGGTAACGTCCTTTTTCTTGCTTTGCTGCCCCCGGCGCGCCCCGCGCTGCTCCCAGCAGAGCCGACTGCTCCCAGACCCTCCGCGTTCCCTCCTCTTCCTCCCCACCCAGACTGGCCGCGTTCGGAGCCATCGGGGCACCTCCCTGGCTCCTGCATCCCTTTGTCCTTTTCTGTTGTTTTGTTACGGCAAAGTCTGCTGTGAGACCTCGGCATCACGCAAGGAAGCCCAGTGTTCCCAGTTAACCCTGAGCAATTCGCTGGGAAGTGGCTGGCTTTTTTAGGGGGTAGGAGGTGTCTGAGCCCCTGGAGCAGTGGCTGCTGCTTTCCTATCTTCTGGTGGGGGTTTTTTTGGGTTTTTTTGGTTTTTATTTTCTGCATTTGGGGTTGAGGTTTTTTGGGCACTGAAGTCACATCCCTGCCGCAGTGTCCCAGAACCAACCAGCTGCTGGCTGCGCATCCTCCCACCCAGCCCCTGCCGTCACCGCATTTTCTGCATTTGGGGTTGAGGTTTTTTGGGCACTGAAGTCACATCCCTGCCGCAGTGTCCCAGAACCAACCAGCTGCTGGCTGCGCATCCTCCCACCCAGCCCCTGCCGTCACCGCTGGGATGGGGGAAAAGCAGCCCTGCCGCTGCCCCGCCTGTGCTTCCCATCCCCACTCCGCGCTCGTTACAGCGGGTGATGCTTTTCCCCCGGAGCGCAATTTGTTTCTCCTCCTTTTATTTCCAGCAAGCTGAAAGCTGGCTAGGTGTGGGCGGGGGTCTCCACTGCCCCTCGGCGATGCTGGGCTGGGTGCTGCGGGCACAGGGGGACAGGCTGGGGACCAGCTCAAGCCCTGGACTCGGAACAGAGGCCAGCCAGGCTGCAGGGTGCAGGGGTGAGATGCACAGCTCGCACCGGGGCCGCCCGGGTCCTCGTTCGCTCCCTGGGGGCTGCTCTCACCTCAGCTCCTCTGCCTGTCCCCCTCCAGAAATGATCTACAGACACGTGGCTGTCATCGACGGGGAGATGGTGCACTTCGAGATCCTCGACACGGCGGGACAGGTGAGCTCAGGCCATTCCAGCGCTGCCTGGACCCGGAAAGCACCAGCGGGGAAGCGCAACGTGCCGCTGAAGGCAATGCCGGCATCTCCACCAGCTCGAGTCTGTTGTATCCGAATATTGATGGAGACACGTTTATCTCAGAAAAAGGCTGGTTTGGAGAGGTTATGTGTCTCTAACACCGTCCCTAACACCATTACAGCGTGGCTGTATGGTATTTCCCCATTACTGGCGTGCGGCACAGCTCCGCTCCCCGTGCTGGCGGAGCATCCCGACAGCACCCCGGGGAGCTGGAGGACGCTGGGTCCCAGGAGCCACCAAGGACCAGGATTGTGGGCGATGGAGACCCCCTGCTGCCATCCCATCCAGCAGCAGCCCTGCCCCAGTGCACCCACTTTAGGATGGGGTCCATGGGTGTCCCGTCTCTCGTTTTTCCCAATCCACCCATCTGCCCGGGGCCACCTGCGCTGCTCTGCACATCGCTGCCGTGTGCAAGCCCAGGGCAAAAACCTCTGGGGAGATGGTGCCGGGTCCCCTGGGGCGGTTTTTGGGGTTGCAGGAGCAGCGCGGGTGTTTGGGAGGTGTTGGGGTGCTGACGGGACGTTGTCTGCCCGCAGGAGGAGGACTCCCTGCAGATCGAGGAGAAGATCAAGTGGGGCGATGGTTTCGCCGTGGTGTACTCGGTGACGGACCGCTGCAGCTTCGACGAGGTCATGCGGCTGTGTTTCCTCATCAACCACATCCACTGCAGCCCCAAGCGCAGCAGCGGCGCCGACCAGCCCCCCGTCGTCGTCGTGGCC